TTGCACATGTGCAAAACTCGTTCCCTTGATTATGGAACTTTGGGGTTTCCTCACTCCGCGCTTCTGCTCCTAATCCCAGAAAATTTTTCACCACCCTCGCCCCGGGTAACTATGCATTGGTGCATGTAGCATTGCCCGCTTGGCTGACCTGCACGTCATGTGAGCCTTCGTCTTTGCTGATGCATGTTGCACTTGTCATGGGCTGCCAGCTGGCACTAAGCCTCGTTAGAGACTACCTTTTTTGTTGTTCTATGGGTTTAGGTCATGTATCTCTAATGGTGCAATAGATACGAGTGAGACTTTAATTATGGTAACCTTATTCAATCGCATTTTAAGACGGTATAAGTTTCAAGGAAGTTTGGACCATAACTCCTGGGATCCCTTCTAGGATCTCAATTCTATCGCACTCGGAATGGATCTCTCATGGATCTCAATTTTAAAGTTTTGGGATCCTAATTCCCAATGTTAGGGATCTCGATCCCAACTTAAAGACCAAGACCAACAAAATTGATGATTTTCTTTGTTTATAGCTTGGTAGTAGCACAGTCATATTTTTAATATCGTTGTATTGCTTGCTTGCTATAAATAATGAGATCCCCACTTTAAAGAGTATACATAATCCTAAATTATCATACACTTTAATGTTGATAGCAAGATCCTTAATAAGTTGGGATTAAGATCCCAAAAGGTTGGAATCTCGATCCCTAACATTTGGAGATATCGATTCCTAACAGGTGCATTGTACGGACAACATTCCCAACCATAGGGATCTTCTAGCATTTCACAATCCCCCTCTCCTGATCCTAATCTTGGTACCGTTCATCGAAATAAAATTATCAAATAATAACATGAAAGAGTTAAAACCAAGCGGATAATTGGATTCATTAGGGTTCCTGATCTACTTAAAATCACCAGCCAAATAAAACATTCCATTAGAGGCCTCACAAGCCAAGGAGAGATATAAAAAGAAACTAGGTTTGTCCCCAACCACAATGGGACCATAAACATTCAACTAAGTACAGCCACGAAGGCCAAGCTTAGAAAAAGTAAAAGAGAGAACAAAAAAAGAGACCGACAAAACATCTCTAACCAAGACCAAAGGGTCCCAAATAGTAAGCAGACCACCAGAAGCACCCTGGTAGGGTGCAAAACAAAATGGCAAGGGTCCAGGGCCCCAAAAACGCCACACGTCCGAGACACCAGGGGATTGCATCTTAGCCTCTTGAAGTAAAATATGCGGTTTGAAAGCCTGCACTAATGTTTTCAAAGTTCGCTTCTTTATCGGCTCTCTAATTCCCCTGATGTTCCACGAGTAGATCTTCATGATTAATGGAAAGGGGTTCCACCCTTGGTAACCTCGGAGGGGCCAGCAGCAAGTGGATGAAAGTGAATTGAGCAGCAAGTCTCTGGGCCTCATTTTGACGAGCTCTCCTCCTTCTGGGCGTCGAGTTCCAGTTGAGATCATTAATCCCAAAGGCGTCTTCAACCACCACAATGGAGCTCGTATAGTCTATCTTCATGACACTAAGCATCTCGGTCACCTTGCCTTGAACTTTCGTTCTCTTATATGGTTTTTTAGGCCAATTACGAGAGCGGGGGAAAAGGTTCTTGTCCTTTGAGGAGGATTCAGTGACCACAATAGGAGGAGTGTCAGGGCAAGCAGCTAAAAAAAGAACTCGAGAAAGGTGTTCTGGTGTAGCAATTTGTGAGAGCACCTCACAGTAAGATGGCCCCAGTTGACCTCAAGTTCCCATTCCAAGAAGGTCTTCTTAACTGCCCCAGTCGGTGCAGTCGGAACTGAGTCCACAGACCGGATGGCTATCGGCTGGTCTTTGGCCTCCAAAATCGTAACCCTTTGGGCTTCCATGGCATTGGAAAACTGAATACGGTAAAGAGACATGGAACAGGCAAAACCAGAGTGAAAAACCCAAAGAAGGATCTTACTAAAAGCACTATAGGCTATCTTAGAAAGGTGGGATGTAGGGAAAGGTTCGATAGCAGAGTCCTTAAAAAAGCAGGCAAGATCAAGGGCAGATGTACCTTCTAAGGCAAGCAATGACGGTTGGGACTTGCTTTTTCGTCTCCTGGCATCACTGCCTTACAATTGGGAGGGTTCTTGTCTATCTTGATAGAGGGGATGACGCTTGGGGAACCCTCGCTCCTTGAACCCTGAAGGTCACGCAATCGGACGGTTGGTGAAGTAAAACCACTGCCAGGGTCTCTCGAAAGGTAGCTATCATCAGAACACGACAAGTTCAGCGCAGGGCTCAAGGAGATGAGGGAGAGAGAGTTAGTGTTTTGGGTCTTTGACAGAGAGAGAATGTGTTTTGAGAGATAGAGCGACCCAAGGAAAAAGTTTTGTTCACACTTTATTTCTGCTAGTTGGATTACGTGTGTTGCACGCAAGAGTGAAATATGAAAATACATAAACAAAAAATTTGCTAATTTAAAAGTTCTTAGTAAAAATATAAAAATTAATCATGAAACTTGAAAATTTTGATTAATTTGAT